AAAGGTTGCTGCAGTGGAAAAGGACAACCAGTTCACCCTATATACAGTATGATTAAAAACGTATAGCTTACCTCAGACAAATCTGCTACAAGTGGCTAATTATAGTGATCAGGATCTTTTTTTTTTTATTTGTAACCTATAGTGACCCTTTAGTGTATTTAAAAGTAATTTATGTTCTTTTAGATTTGACAAAAAACTAGTGTTCCAGACCTTTTGGCTTTAAGGGCGTATACACACTCACTCTCTCCGTTTGTTCAGCTTTCTCAGAGCCGGTAGAAGCACCAGAGAGACCTCCAAAGCCCCTGCCCAGACGAATCAACTCAGAGCGTCGACCCAGCCCCGTCCCGCCCGTCCCTGCTCCACCTAGTAGTGGGGCAACAGGAGGAGAAGCCAACCCTCAAATCAGTAGCGAGATCGAGCACCTCATGAGTCAGGGATACTCTTACCAGGACATCCAGAAAGCACTGATGATTGCACAGAACAATATCGAAATGGCCAAGAATATCCTACGTGAGTTTGTCTCTATTCCCTCCACCGCGCATGTTCTTACATAGCACACTCCTTGTGTCTCTCTCTCTCGTGTTTGCTCTCTTGCCCTAGCTTGGCCCAGCCTGGTTGGGTTTAGGTTGGCACAGCCCAGCCCAAAGCCCAAAAGCTCATTGCCTGCAGCACTACCTCCGGTGCTGGTCGACGCCCTACGCCCCTGTGGATTTTTAACTGGCTGTTACTCCAGCGAGCTCACGGCATCTCTGGGAACTCCGCGCCCTGCACTCCATGCGCTTTCAACAGTGTCTGGCCTTCTTTAAACTGCTACAGCAGGCCTCTTCGTTGTCAAGGACATCTCCGCAGGACTGACTCGGCGCATGCGGAACAGTGACGGGACGCCACGTGACGGCAAGACTTTTTGTAGGAATCCTGGGAAGACCGATTCTTCTCTTTCATGTCGAAGCCTCTTGCTGAAAATGTAACCAACACCTCACAAATAAAACTAAAAATGTATGTCTATATGAAAATTTAATATATGAGTAAATATATATTAAATGTGTGTAATATATACAGTACGTGCATATACAGTGTGTAAAAATGACTTCAGCTTTGAGGGTCGCTGTTGGTACAAGCGATATGGGTAGACGGGGACCAGATTAAATGGGGGGGGGGTTTGGCCCTTTTCTGGCGGACTGAGGGGTGTGAGAGTGCAGAGAAACACATGCTAGGAAGAGGAGGAGTCGGGGTATCTTCCTCCATTAGGATGTGTTGGTCGGCAGCAGCTTAGAAGACGTGCAGCAGAGCTTTTTCACGATGAATTCAGTCTGTTATGGCCTTTGATTAACAATGTTGCTTTGGTACTTTTTTTTAGAAAAACATGCTTGTTTTGTCGTGTTGTATTTTTCAAAGTAGCATGACGATGGTTTCAGGTCTGATCTGTTTGTCTGGCAGTGTGTCTGTGTGTCTTTTGTGTGTGTCTTTGTGTGTTTATGTATGTATGTGAGCATGCGTGTGTGTGTGCGTCTGCCAGACTCTACTCCTCATGACCTGCTCTCAAACGAACCCCTATTCCTGTACAACATGAATGTGGAATTACAGTCAGTATACTCAGACTCGTGCTCTGGAAACGTACTACTGCTCTAACTCATATGACAGGGCCTGGTGTAGCTGTAGAGCCTGGCAGTGAGATTATTAGAGGACGTGCTAATGTCGACGACCCTGCAGTACCAGACAGGCTAGTGTTGTGCGATCCGTGGTGGCTGAAACGTTTTTGTTCTGTCTTCGTCTAACTGCATTGGCTGGCTGGTTCGGATTTCTGTCTCCAGCTCAGTCCAGTGTTATGAAACAAAAAAAATGTCATTGATTTACTTTGGTAATATATTATTGTAATATGATCATAAATATTGTTATTATAATTAATTCAGAAGTGCTTCACTGCTGCTACTATTGTTAGTGCTAAACAATTACGCCTTAAATGTACATTTGTGAATATTGTGTTTAACCGTCATCCTGTTTCTTTAAAGTGACAGTATCACCTGTGTTTCTCCAGTCCGTGATGTAGCATACTTGAAAGTACAAGCGGCTTGTGAGCCTGCAGCTCTCTCAAGCTGTCGACTCTTCAGTGTTTTAAACCTTTTTTTTTTTTAAATATATTCTCTATGGTTCTCTACAGGTAGGTCTGTCTGTCTACAGCAACAGTAATTAAAGCAAACAAAATGCTTTCGGTATGGAAACCAGCCATTTTGTATTAGTCAGGCTTCTCTTTCACATCAATTCCCTTCTCGCGGCAGTTCACCTCGCTGAAAGGGAGTGATTGCTGATCCTTTTTTTTAAGTAGGCTCATGGGTTTGCTGGCCCACCCCCAAGTCTACATTAGAATCAGTATTTGGGCCAACTGTAAGAACTAACTCAGGAATAATGTTTAACTAAACGAGTGGCGTTCACCCTGGCTGTCAAAACCCAGAGGAGACACATTGGCACAGACAGCTCACCTGCTGTCTGTTTATCCAGGTGACATGTAGCCAAAACTATCCGCTTAATGAAGTCACACAAGTAGCCTATTACCTTTTTTTTTCTTTACTTCATATTTTAACTTGCACATTTTTTGTATTGTTTCCGATGTTGGCAGGACTAGAGACAGCAGCTTCATTTCCAGGTACTATGAATGAATAAGATAAATAAAGCTTTTAGGTACATTGACTTGAACTTCTCCCAGCATATGAAGAAGAATGTTGTTTTTTTTGGGAGGGTTAATCATGTCAATAGCCCTGGCTTATTCTGGGTAATTCTGTCTGTTGACTGGAAGCTATCTCCGCGCTGTCTGGCCATCCTCTAGTTCTTTTTATTTTTCTGTTCCTAGTTGCCTTGAGAAACTTCTTGAATGATGTGTAATGGACGAGGAGGTCTCCAATCCTCAATACTGTACCAATGTTTTGTTGATGTTTTGAGGACAGCATGTCATTGTATTATTTACCTTTTTTTTATTTTTGTTTTTGCACAGTATACCAATTTGTGCTTTGATACTGTCACTCTAAAGAAAAGCTAATTGTGTAAAGTGAAAAAAATGGCTGTTTTATTTTCATTTTGCATTCCTGTACATGTATTTTGTTCCAAAGGTTTTGTTTACTTGTGTGAATAATTCTGTGAGCAGTGCCATATGTTTAGAGATCCTCACCATGTTTAGAAACAGGCCTTGTTTTTGAAGAGCGTTTGTAGGTATTGAGCTGTACCTGTTGATCTCTGAAGGCAAGATTGTGCAGTATTGCTTGTATTAATCTGTCTTCTCTTCCTTGTCGGCCGCATCAGGCCTCCTCTATGAGCACAAGTGCTGATCTGTGAAAGGTCTCGAGATAAACCAGGTCCTAGATCAGTGCTCAGCCTCAGAGATGCTGGATGCAGACCAGGCCCCGTTACCCTCAGTCCCCGTGTTGGGGTACTTCAACTTTCTGCCAGAAGAGGGAGCCGTTGTTCCATGTAGCCGTGTCGCTTCTCGTCAGTAAAAGGCATTCATTAACTTTTTGATGGTTTTTAAAGCTCATATCACTTTGGAAGTATGCACAGTGCTGTTAATAAAAATGATAAGCAAAAGCCATCACGTGTCTCTCTTCTCTACACACACATTCAAAGATCTTTAACTTGTAAATGCAGACAATGAGCTCAACTGAGACATTATAAACCTATTGATGTCTATCAGTATCTATTTCCCATACGTATCTTAAAATAAGGATACACAATCCATTTGTGATTACTCAATCATCTGCTAGACTTATTGAACAGTGAATTGATTCATTAAAGTCTTGACGGATGTAAAATAACAGTTATCAGATACTATATAACATTGAAGTACTGTGATTACTGTATTTAAAAAGACTTTAATGCACTTATAGTATAACATTGACAGGAATCATTACGCCGACTGTTAAAGTAGAGTTTGGATTGCAGGAGTTTAAAAGGAGCATTATAACATTGTTGTTTAGACTCTTCACTGCAGACATTTTGACTTGTCATAGCAGGAAAATACATTGGCTGCCTTTCCTCTAGGTGAGCCACTCCATGCTCACTCACTGATACAGCTTACTGAAAGACTAAATGGAATGGAGCCATCGTTATAATCTTATAATTTGCAGCTGTGCTTTTCCTGCTCTGACAAGTCAGAATGTTTGTTGTGAAAAGGGTTTATTGAAGTCGAGCAGGAGAGATGAGGAACTGAACAGGATGAGAAAGGACTCTGGAAGCAGCGCTAAGGTACAGACGTGATGAAACTCTCTGGGTTTTGAGGATGATGAACAGAGTGTTTTTGACAGTAGGGACGTTAAGAATTTACCAAGTGGTCAGAGCTGCAGACAGGTTCAATACTTCATATTTCTTATATGCTCAAAAGTTCACTAATGCATTTGGTAACTGCATTAAAAAGCAAAATCTGATTTGACTGCCCAGTAGTTGATTAAATCTGCATCATATCTGAGCCATTTATAAAACTCTTATGTAACTTAATAAAGCCTTCTGTGTACCGACAGACTTCTGAAGATGTAATGGGAATTTTAGGTCTGCAGGAGAAAGATGGGCTGCTGTAGTTGTCTGCATCTCACAGAAACTGAATAACTAAACCCTTTATTTACAGGTGCGTCATTTCCTAGAAATGAAAACGTTGTACTTATTGAAGAAAATTAGTTTCATTTAACCTTAAGTATATATTTACACATTACTTGTTTAATATCAGAAACTTAATTCTCCATATGTTTTGAACTGTATGTTTGCTTGTAGACAAATTCCACACTGATTAAACTAACTTTAATTTTAGTTTACCATTTGAACAAAATTTCTATTTGTCCTAAAATCAGAACCAAATTACATACAGTGGCTGTTTTGGGGGAAAACCTACTAGGAAGTTATAAAGAAATCTTCCATAAAACACAGACGTGTAAACCAACAGAACAAAAACCTGATATTAAAATGTCTGTTTTTTTAAAACACTGGCAGGAATAATATGTAACTTAAGACACATTCAGTCCTAATTTTCATTTAACAGTCAATCTTTATTTGGTATAATTTGCAAAAACTACAAACAATGAATTTGTTGGTAAATTGGTTTGAATATAATCAGTGAATGACACTCATTTTACATTTTACAACTCCAAGGCATTAAAAGGCATTTAATAGATTTCAAACACCCAAAACCATTTAACAGTGGTAGTTCTTCCAAACAGCAGAAAACAACAGACTAACAGAGGGTAGGAAGGGATCATACCTGCACACAACTGAGCGTATTGATTGTCTATAAATGTCTTTTGCATAAGTGGAGTCACAGTCATTCTCCCCTCCTCAGTAGTCATATACTGTAGTTACCAAGTCACTCGTCGTTATGTCTGATGGGGATTCTGTGTCTCTTTGGGATCCAACAGATTATTTCAAGTTTCAGTCACACATGAATTATTTCATTCATTAAACAGAAACATGTGTTTTCTTTTTTTTAAAGAGGGCAACTTCATGCCGTGAACCATATTTATGGACCAATAATCTGTTTTACCCTCATCCTTCCTCTTAAAGAAATAAAAAAATAGCAACAGAATTGCATTTCTTTCACATAAAGTCACATTAAACAAAACAACTGTTTCACATTAGAGAAACAAAACTGCATGAAGAGTAACCACAAAGAAATCAGTGCACTGAACATTAAATATAAACAACTAAGCATATAAAACGTTGCTGATATTTCTATAGGTTCTGATCAAATTTCTAAGGCATCTGTAACCTTTTAACTAGACTGTTGGCAATTCTTAAACCCAAACACACACACACACATATATATCAAAGTAAAGAAAACAGCAAATAATGTTAACCTTTTTAGGTCAAATATCGAACAGACTTTTCACCCGTCTCGCAAAAATATCTTCTTTAAAACACACAAACTGGGGAGTGTAAAAACTACTGTAAGCTGTAGAGAAGAGAAGAACTACAAAAGTGAATGATATGTGATTAAATGACCCCTAAGTTTATTTTCAGAGCTAAAAAGGCAACATTTTTGGTGAAGGCTGTAACTGGCTGTAAAGGGAAGCATCGTTGCATGCCCAAAAAATTCAGTGTACAGACTTCAGCTAAACAGGAAACATAGACAAAACTATTTTAAAAAATCACAACAAGACATCTAACTAAACTCCATAAAGACCAAAACAAAATAAAATCCTATCTGCTCAATTATTTTTGGTAGTTTTTTTTTTTTCAATGGTGTTATTTTAAATAAAGAAATATATACATAGATTATAATATGTACACTTGATAAAGAGCTATTTCAGGCTGCTCTTCAGTGATTGCTTTGCCTGAGGTGATGCTTAGTTGGATATAAAAACAGTCCCTGGTCAGTGTTGTGCTCTAATTAATGTTCTATGGACAATCAGCAGTATACAAGGCTCGTGGTTATGAGAACTACAGGCAAAGGATAGTCCTTGATTTGAAGGCTAAAGATTTGTTAGTAGAGTTACGTCACAGAGCGCTCTAATCATTTCTCTTTTAAAGCTCGGGGTTGCATTCCAACAGAAATGTGCTGGGATGTAAAGGACGGTAAGCAAAAGCTGAAGCTTGCAATAATTTGAGTCTCGGCTGTCCGTCGTGTTGTTAACTGACAGCTGAGATTTTCTCTGTGACATAACTCTGGGATAAGGAGCTGCGGTGGAAGCTTGAAGGCATTGGCTGGTCTGAGCCTGAGAGGGAAGAACAGGAGCAGCTTGTTGTTGCGTCTGCAGTCACCGCCTCACTTCTGCACGTCCAGCTACTCACCGCCGTTTACTGCAGAGGGCAAACGCAGACATTAAAACACGAGAAAAGACATGGGGCGAGGGTGTAATTAGATAAGCAGAAAAACAGCATCATCTTTCAGTTGAACAGTAGATATCTACCTGGTCACTGGGAGGTTGCTTTTCTCCGTTGACCCCGAGGAGCACGGCTTCCTCTGTGTTGTCGCTCTTCATCTCCACCACAATGTTATCTTTGTTGGACTTCTCTTTGGTGCTGCAGGATCAAAGAAACTCCTTAAATTCAGATACATACAAACTGTAATAGATCTTCTATCCAACCACAATGATGATTCATTGTTTTAATTTACTTTATGGTCTTTGAGGGGAAGTGGAAAGAAGCTGTAAACACAATAGTGACAAACATGTATTGTCACCTTTTTAAGTTGATATGGTGAACCTTTTATTGGTTTATCGTTTATTTGGAGTCATGTTTGTGTCATTCTGAAAAACCAAGTCCAATATTCAGTCTTTTTAGCTGTTTTTGGTCTCTACCAACATCTGAGAGAAATATCTGGCTCTTCAGCTGTTAAATGCCACTGTGTTCACCAGCTAGTTCCTAACTTTGTGCTGAGCTGGTAGTTTACAGTGGGTTTTAAACAATGGGCTTAAATATTTACTTTAGAGCTGAGGGGAACAACAGAGTTGGTGATAATTATGTGTTGGGTTCATCACTATAATGCTGCCTGTAATTATGTAAAATGTTATTTTAAAATTACACAACTATCTGGGTCTTTTGAGCAGTTCTGTCTCTGTATTGGGATTTCATTGTGTAGCTGATTTGACGCCAGTGCACAGAACAAAAATGTTTGCTGTGTCTGCCATCAGGGTCAAAGATCTCAGATGTGGATCTGGAGAAATCTAAAATGTAGCATGCATGGTGGCAAACAGCCTATGAATAACATTCACCACCGTAGCTGCACACTACAAGGAAAATATTATAAAATTAAAGGACCAGTATGTAGGATTCAGTGGCAGGTAGCAGCCATTTGTGTAGGAGAAACTATCTTTTACTAAATATCTGAAGCCAGTGTTTGGTTTGTCTGTTCTGGGCTACTGTAGAAACATGGCAGACTCCACAGAAGATGGATGATGGCTCATTCAAAGGTAACAAAAACAAGGATTCTTGGGATTATACACTAATGAAAACATACCTATGAATATTATTTTCCATATCTGCCATGTTTGTTGACAGAAAGCAAGAAAGAAACAAACAAAACAAAAAATTGTATTCTGATTTAATTGGCTGTACTGACTTTATAAACCACCATCTCCAGATCTGCTTTTCACATCAAAGAACGTATTTATATGAAAAATTTAGTTTTTTAATTTCCTTTACTCCACTTCCTGTTTTGTCTTTCTGCACACTATTCTTCTTTTATGTCTATTTCTGTCACCAAAAGCTAGTTAGTCTTTTAGTTACTATGACAAAGAACATTTTTAAATTCATAAACATATCTATAAATATTTGATGTCCAATACAAGTCAAGTCAAGTCAAGTCAAGTCAACTTTATTGTCAAGTATGCTATACATGC